ACGTTGGAGACGTATCATGAGGCAGTAACGGTTTGTGTGGAATTAGTTGGATTGTCTTGGAAGGTGGAGTTCATGCATTGTCTTGGGGAAGCAAATGAAGCAACACATGAAATGGCTAAGTTGTTTTAATCCGAATTCTTGTAACTAGAATGAGCCCTTAACAGTTTGTTAAGTTTCTAGGTGGACCCTTTAAGTGTTCCAATAAAGCTAGCTATGATGGTAATTTTCTTTACAAAATGGCATGAAAAGAAATAAATTGTGGATGACTATTTGTTCCTATATACCAACACTCTATTAGCTTAAATTTTATGCAAAAATTCTTAGATCCATGAAGGTTGATGTTCCCGCTAGTTTAAACATGTGCATGTCTAGCAACTATTTGGAAACAATTGTGTTTGCAGATTGCGTTGAGTCGTGGTGGAGCTTAGTGTAGACCAACATGGGCCATGCCCCTCCCCCTTAATCTTTTTCATTCATTGAAGAGCATGCTAGATTTTGACCTAAATAGTGTTTGAACTAGGGATTAGCCCCTCCTTCCCAACTAATTTTGTACACCTCCAAGTCTTGGCCCCTCTTATATTTTGCTCAAGCTCCGCCATTGGCGTTGAGTTACTTGGATCGATCGAAAAGGTCACAAGGATAGCTTTACAATAACATAGCATGCTCACCCGATCAAGTATCCGATCATCTATTTCCAGATAGCCCATCTAATCTCATAATGTTTCGAAAAAGGTAATTCTCCATCTACCCACTAGCCCTCCACTTAACTTGCATATGCGTGTCTCTTAGTCCAGCTTCTCCTTCCATAAAGGTAGCCTTGTCGCTACCCTCTTCTATGACCAGAAGGCATCCTCAAAGTTCCATTAAGGAGCACCCTATAAGAGGAAGAAGCAATGAACAAAGTTCATATCTTGGAAGAGCTCTGTCCAAAGCCAAAACCCTGAAGAACCTCAAGCAAATAGTCTCATTGAATTTAGTCAAAGGCCCCCATAGTATCAAATATTAGGAACATAAGAGGCTTCTTTTGGGAGTAAGCATCATTTATCACATTCTTAACTTAATTGAAGTTGTCCAGAATTTACCCCCCCCCTCCTATGTGATAAGGTCTTGGAAGGGGGTTCACATTTGTTAGTATGCCCATACACAAAGAAAGTTTGGCACGATTTTGCGGTACAACACCCGTGGGCGTCGTGATCAATGATCGACTCAGATTTGGTCAAGACAAGGTGGAAGAAGATCAATGCCAGATTAGGAGAAGACATCAAGAAAAGAAAGTTTCCCCTGGCAACATACATCGTCTAAAACATATGGAGGGAACAAACCTGCAAAACTATTGAAGGGAAATCGATGAGCGCCCCCATGGTAGTGAGTATAATAACGAGTGATGGATTATGTATCATGTTGGAGGCGACAGAGTAGTTACCTATGTGAGAGTAGGGACATTTGTGTCCGTCCTAGTAGTTTTCTTTTTTCTGTGCTTTAACCTATGTATATATGTTTTGTTTCCCCATTATTAATGAAAAAGCAGATCATGTGCTAATTCATCGAAGGAAAATTAATGGAGTGGAAGGGGGTATGGTTTCATTCCTAGCTCTAATCTTGTTGTGCTCTTGGACTATAGACTAGTACGAAACAAAGTGGCCGCGATGTTTTCACATGTCATGATAGTACAAAGTTGAGAGAGAGAGAGACAGAAAGCAATGAAAGGGTTTATTATGTACGATATATGTCATTAGTTTAGCGCTTGCTCACTCAAGGATGGTTCTCATGTTCATATGTTGTTGCTTACAATTATATCGACATATCAATTAGCAAAACAATACTTTCCCAAGGCATGGAACGATCCCTCTAGCGATGAAGTAATAGCTCTCACAATCTATGAGACTAGTCCTAAACTAAACTCCATCTTTGTTGTGTTAAGAAGTATTGAATGTGCAACTCATCAAAACAATAATGAACATCAGATTTAAAACTGAAATGAAGAAAAACAATAAAGGTCGATTATACTTCAATCAATGAAGCAATAAAATCATATAGTAGTTCTAAGGAAAGGATTGAATGGGAATTTGGTATTTATACCCTCAACTAGACCTAGGGGATGGGGACTTTTGATCTGTGGGATTCATAAGACAGAGGATCTGAAAGAAAAAAATAGGGTTGTAATGTTGTGTCCTCTTGAATCCTATAGGATTGAACAATTACATTACTTACATCACATATTCCGTGATTTAAAAGTACAAGGATGGAAGGTTGCATGCAATATTTTTTGAACGACTTTTGACAATGTTAGAGGTGATTTAGTGGAGCAGATACCAACATAGGGAAACTTTGGTGTGTTATCGGAAGGGTGGAACAACAATGATAAGGATGATTCCAAAGGTACAATCACCACAAAAGGTATTGCGATTATGACTGATAAGTTTATGCAATGTCGTCTATAAGATTATACGTAAAATGTTGGTGTCAAGAATGAAAATGTTATTGCCAAAGATTATGAGTCCAACACAAAGTGCATTTGTGTCGAGATGGCTAATCACAGACAATGCAAGACATGAATATGAAAGCTTTCACACGATTAATAAGTAAATAGATGGAAAGAATGAGTTATGTGTCGTTATCTTGGATATGCATAAAGCTGATGGCCATGCAAATGGTTTCCTTTTTTGGAGAAAATCATGCCGAGACTAGGTTTTGCGGCATAATGGGTGAAGATGATAATCTCATGTGTTACCACAGTTGAGTACCAACTCAAAGTTAATTCGCAAGAGATGCAGACCATCAAACCTAGTAGGGAACTATGACAAGAGACCCATAATCCCCCTACCTTTTTTATTCTTTTTGCTGAAGGTTTAGCAAGTTCGTTCACTCATGCTGGAGATACAAGAAAACACTATTGTGTCAAGGTATGCCGGGAGGCCCTCAAATTTCCAATTTGCTATTTGCAGATGATTCTCTTATCCTAATGAAAGCGCATGTGCAAAATGCAACATCTCCCTGTACAATCCTTGATGATTATTGCGCTACATTAGGTCAAATGGGGCTGAAAGGTTTGACTACTTCAATTAGTGGAGAGAGTTTGCAAAATAATCAATGGATGTGGAGAAAAAGGTTGTATTTAAGTGGAAAAGAGGTGCTTCTCAATGCGCTGGCACAAGCTATCCCTTCATATGTGGTGTCAATCTTCAAAATCCCCAAAAATATATGTAAGGGGATTACTGATTTGATGTCACATTTTTGTTGGGGTGACAAGGAAAATCAAAAGAGAATGCATTGGTTTGCTTGGATGAAGATGTGTGTACCACAGAAGAAGGGTGCAATGAAATGTAGAGATATACACTACTTCAATCTTGCGATGTTACGAAAACGAAGCATGTAGATTGATTTCATATCCTGTCTCACTTTGTGCCAGAGTGTTAAAAGCAAGCTATTATCCGATTGAGGATCTTTTGCACCTCATTTGAAGGACTCGTCCTTCACTGGGCAGAGTACCATGGTGGGAGTTCAGACTTTCAAAAAGCGGAGCATATGTAGAGTACAAGATGGCTTAAAAACTAAAATTGTGGGTACCCATCGTTTTTCTTGAAAAGGAGGGCCTCTGCATTAGATGATGCACATAGCCATAATTAGAAACCCAACGGTGCTACAAGATGAACAATCGATCATTAACATCACTCGTGTTAATGATTTGATCAACCCACAATCTAGTAAATGGGGTGAGGAGTTGATTTAAGATCTTTTTTGGCCAATTGCGATAGACCACACAAAAAGTCTCTCTCGATCAGCATATTATACCGAGTGGGAGCATCATCATGGGTGGAAGCTGAGTCGAACATCTGGTCATGGAGCATTAAATATCAACCCCAAATGTAGAAGCAAATTTGGTTAAAACATTGACAATAAATGCATTGACCATTGCCGCTCTAGCAGCAAACTATGAAAAAGCTTATACTAACAAATCAACAGAAAATTTAGTCTTAGTTTGCCTATGTTGATGTGTCTACAGGTTGGATCCTTCTGATCTACGCTTCTATTCGTCGGCGGCATGAGGACCTAGCACGACAACTTCCTGACTGTCTATTTCAACAAGTTTTGCCCGGCTCCGATGAGGAAGGGGCGATGACGGCAGCGCTAGGTAGTCTACGACTCTAAATGTAATTTTCATTATTTTTTCACAAAAGAAAAATCAACGGTGAAGCACCATGGTTGGATGTCACCACCTGCTGACAAAGTGAAGGTCTCGTTGATGCATCCTTTGATGCGGATACCATGTAGGGGGGCGTGGGAATGATAACCAAAGACTCGAGAGGCAATTTCACTGGCGCGTCGAGTAAATTTCTTGATCAGGTATACGATGTTGATATAGGAGAAACTTATGCTCTTTTTGCACGGAAGTTATTTAGCCCTTATGCTGGCATGCAACTGAGTTTGCTTCTAGGCAGGTTGCATGGAGGTGATTGAAACTATGAACAATGGAGGAGGAGCATATATCAGCAACTGTAATATTTGATGAATGTGAAAACTTGGCTAACGACCATGTGAAGGCAACCTTTGTTTTATGTTCTAGAGGCAAATAAGATACTCTCTCCGATCCAAATTAATTGTCGCAGCTCTAGTACAACTTAGTAAACACAATCGTAGACATCAGTTGGACGCTTGGCATGTTATTGGTGATGAAATGGATCGATAAGAACAACCCGAACTTGACCGCCTGGTGATGGATAGGACCCCTGCTAGCTTGATATTCAAAGTAGCTTTATCACTGTCTGGTCATATCACCAGCAAGAATATCTTCCAATTCTATAGATATAATATGATAAATAAATAAAGAGGAAGGCGTAAACCGATTTAGTTATCTTAGCTCTTTCAGGCAATCTTCTCTAGATCTGCACAAAGGCTAGCAGACAGGAGAAATGCTAAACTGTTGGAACTGCATCTCCTGATTCCTTACTGAATTCTCGAGTTTGTCCAGAGAAAAGCCGTGTCGACCTAGAATAGTAATACTAATTGTGAACTCTTCTCAGGTCCTCGGACACATTCCTCGAAGCCTTCGTCCCCAGAGCCTCCGCAATGCTCCTCACCTCGGCAATCATTGCCACGACATCATTGAGCTTGTTAATCGCAGAGCCAACTCCCTGCAGCCACAGTGTGGAGAAGATGATCAGCTCCTGTGAATGAATAAACTCTCACATGTTCCAACAAGCAGGAAAAAGGTATATTTCAGATACAACACGAAGAAGTCATGAGAGCTAGCAGATGTAATGTGTAATGGTCCAAAAATGTTCTGGATCAGTGTTGGTTTATTTACTGTCACAGAGTTCACATCACACTATCTCACTGCTTGCTCATCATTCCGCAGAAGTTTGAGACACAAGGTACACATACCACGCCAGCAGCTCCTGCGGTTACTGCCATTGGTGCAGTCACTGAACTTAGCCCCGATGCGCACATCACCGGTATGCTGACGGCCCTAGAGATGGAGTATGCAGCTGCCAATGTTGGTGCTGCCTACAATTCGTTGAACATCAGTTATGAATTAGGGAAACAAAAAAATAACGGTGCTTGATAGTGCGTGTTCTATACTTATATTTAGCATTTTTGCGCTACCTTTTCTATTAGTCCAAGAACACCAGGCTTTGTTGGACTAGAACACTTCCCGCCTTCAGTCTGGATGATATCAGCGCCTTCCTCTTCAAGTAGCTCTGCAAGTCTCATCTGTAATTTTGCACAAAAGGATTCCAGATAAATGCACTTGTTAACTGTCATTTCAAGAAGCCTAGTAACTGAATGTATGACAGAGGATGATATACCTGATCCGGAAGGCTCAGAGTGTGGGGAACTGTTACTGACAATGTGATGTCTGGAAGTATCTTCCTTGTCTCCCTTGTCAGGTTCAGTATCTGAAATTGATCAAACGAGGATCTAAGTTTCCACATAGAAATGATGGTTTATCTCAGTAAACAGATGAACCAATAGCAAAAATCGATAACTTTAAATATCTATAAGCTGAAACTTTTACTTGCTCAGATGAGAATTCAATGCCTGCATCGTAAAAGGAGTCGTAGTTTCCAATCTCAATCTGCATGAGAGAAGTTTGTGAAGGCCAGTGGCTAGCAGAGTAAATAAAATGCAGTTGAACCACGTTGCCCAGGTGCCATTCAAAGTTAGAGACTGACCATTTGAGCACCAGCTTTTACCGCAGATTGGAATGCTGAGGGATCCACAGACGATACACATATCTGCAAAGATGCAATTCCCATAATGCAGTTAGCATACGTTAACTCTACAATTGGGTAAAGGAACTACAGTTCACGATTTCTTATGACTCTGTCAATGGTTAACCCACCGGGAGGTTAGTAAGCTCAAGTGCCAGCTTTACCAAGTCCTGGTCACATGCTATATCAACATGGGTAGCACCTCCCTGCAATCATTAAACAAGATGACAAGCTTGTGATAATGAGTAGTCTTTTAAGTATTTCTGTGATATATGCAGGTCAGCAACAAGATTATTAAGATAATAGCCTCGTGACATAACTGTTATATTTGGATAAGTGGATCATTTTTATATCCAAAGCAAGATAAATCATGGCGTTGGCCTCCTGAATACATTTCAATACAAAATAGAGGCACTTGTACTGAATTCCGCTTGTTATCATAAGTTTTTTTAAAAGGTTCATATAAAGTTTTACTTACTTATTAGAAAATTTATTAGTTGGAAAAGAGTATCAGAGTGGGATGATAACAACAGTTGCTTCCTGAATACTAATAAAAACAGTTGCTTCCTGGATACTGATTTCCCTGACGTGGACTGAATCTGAAGAGGATACTTTGTCGCTGCAGCTAATTAACTTGCGTTACCATGTGACACATGTGGTAAGCAATCCAAACTATTCAAAAAACTTGCATTGACAATGACTTCTCCAAAACAGAATTCACAATTGATGTACTGCCATGTGAAGGATACTATGTGCTGGTTCTGATTCTTCTGACCAGATAAATGACGAGGCTTAGGTACTAATCAAACGCTAGCTTCTACTTGCAAACTTCTCGATTGACAAGCTCAGCAGTGACCTAAGCTGGCAATATTAGCAATTCCAATGTAACCAGAAAACGCAACATCATTGTGTTGCCCAGTCGGTTTCAAACTCAAAAAAAGTCTGCAAAGCTATCAGGTTTACCGCAAACAAAGCTCATAGGCCAACAGTTGTTTATCCATCAAAATCTCAAAAGAGATCAGAACTTATGCACCATTTCATCGCTCCGCAAGAGCTAAACTGTAAAAAACAGAGCATGGAAAATAAATGCACTACCTTATCCGCAGCCGTGACGACAGACGCAACATTGGACCTGTCGAAGTTCTGAAGCCCCGAAATGATCTGCAGGTGCAAAAGGCCAATCACTATCATCAGAGTCCAGCAGGAACATTCCATCATATCAAAGCAATGAAATTTTTATTGCTCCACGCTTCAACCCAGAGATGACTTCTGGACTTGCACCATCCATCCAGTCTGAAGGGAACACACTACTGCATCTATCAGAACTAGTGACAGATACAACACACTACTACATCTATCATCAGAGTCCATCAAAGCAATGGAAAATTATTACTGCACGGAAGGTGTCAAGATGGAGAGAGTGAGACCTTGAGAGCCCTGTTCTCACGGAAGGGCATGAGGACGGCGTCCTTGGTGGCCGCAGAAGCCGCCGAGGCGCGGACGGCGAACACGGCTCGTGCCGCTCCCCGGCTCGCCGCCACCGGACGGCACTTGGCCGCGGAGAAGGACGGCGCCTGGAGAAGTCCTAGGGAGCCCGGCGCTGCCATTGTTGCTGCTGAAGGTTTCTGGGAGTGAAAGAGATAAGGAGACTGAAGCAGTGCACTGCACAGAGGAGGGCTCCAGAGTAGATATGCTATCTTGCACGGTGCAAATACCTGACAGACACCTGGAATTGAGCAAGAGGCCCTTGGAATTTTGCAGCCTTTGCAAATTGCTCCTTGGCTCTCAGATTACTACTACCATATCATCTGAATACCACACTTGGCAAAAATAACTGAACCACTAATGTTACATCAAGAAGGAAGCAGCAAAAATAACATCCACAAATCAGCGAGAAAAGCACGATAACATTATCATCCATGATAAGGTTAACGAATTGTTGCTTAAAAACATGCCATAGAGATCGAATTTTGTCTGAACTAATAATAGTACATGACCATGAGATTCATATCCGGCTGCCGCATTTTGACGAACACCTGCCTTGCGGTCTTGCCTTACTTGCGCATTATGCCGTTCAGGCGCTCGACGACGGTGATCAGTCCCTGCAGGCACAGCTCGCCGTCGCCGTTGGCCGCCATGGCCGAGAACATCTGCCGGTACAGCGCCGACCCTGGCAGCACGTTGACCTCCTCCTCCTGGCCGTCGCCGACCTCCAGCGCCATGCCGAGGTCCTTGATGATGTACCGCACGGATCCCCCGGACGAGAAGTCGCGGCTCAGCGCGCGCTCCCCGAAGATGTCCATCACGCGCGACCCCGCGGCGCCCTTGGACACCGCGCCGAGGAACAGCCGCTCGTCGAGCCCGGCGGCTCCGGCGAAGGCCAGGGACTCGCCGAGGCCGACCACGGCGCCGGCCACCGCGATCTGGTTCGCGATCTTGCTGCTCTGCCCGCTGCCTGGCGGGCCCATGTAGGTCGGCCGGCCGAGGTGCGCGAAGAGCGGGGCGAGCCAGGCCACCACGGCCTCGTCCCCGCCGGCGAGGAGGGCGAGCGTGCCGTCGCGGGCGCCGACGTCGCCGCCGGAGACGGGGCAGTCGACGGCGTGGCAGCCGGCGGCGCGCGCGGCCGCGGCGACCTCGCGCGCGAGGGAGGGGGACGAGCTCGTGCAGTCCACGAGGACGCCGCCGGGGCGGAGGCCCGCAAGGGCGCCCGAGGCTGCGTCCAGGACCACGGAGCGGACGTCCCCGGGGTTGCCGACCATGGTGAAGACCACGTCGGAGGCCGCGGCCACGGAGGCCGGCGAGTCCGCGAGGCGCGCTCCGGCGGCGACCAGGGCCCCCGCCTTGGCCGGCGTGCGCGCGTAGGCGGTCACCGCGAACCCGGCGGCGAGGAGGCGCGCGGCCATGGCGCCGCCCATGACGCCGATGCCGATCCAGCCCACCCGCGTGGCCCCCGGCCGCACCTCCGCCGGGAAGCCAAACGCCGTCGCCGTCGCCTCCTCCATGGCCATGACCTCTTCTTCCAGTCCTCCTTCACTCCCAATCCCCAACTGCCCAAAGCATTTGCACGAGACAGCGACAGACCTTGTAATAAACAACTCCCGGCTCCATAAATTAAAATTGCATCACAATTCACACCATCATCCGTTCATCCCCAACGAGGAAAATCATATTGAGCAGATTGGGAATTTTTCCATGGATTTTCATCACGGTGGAAAATTTACAGCAGAGTAGAGTAGTCGATCGATCAAAACGAAAAAATTACTAACCAAAGAACCGAGAGCAACTAACAAACAGTAGTACTAACAGAGAATACATGGCTGGTGGCAGGCTAGATGTGGCAGCCGCAGCAGAGGAAGAAGCAGGAGAGCGCGAGGCCGAGCACGACGGCCTCCACGACGTACATGACGCGGAAGGCCACCTCGTCCAGCGCCGCCGACGCCGAGCCGGCGCGCAGGCTGAGGGACGGGAGCGCCGGCATGCGCTTCCACCGGAACGACCGCGACAGCGACGACGCCAGCCTCCGGTACGACGACGGCCCCGCTGCCCCGCCCCCATTCGCGGCCTCCGCAGCACCACCGGGACTGGCGCCGCGAGTCTTCCACCGGCGGCTCCGGGGCAGGTACTCCCTCGGCACGAGCCGGCGCAGCCACCCGCGCCGCGTGGCCGGAGCGATCGCCGCCGCCCCGGCCTTCGCCGAGGCCGGGGACATGGGCGCCGTCTCCGACGTCGTCGTCGCCACCACCGCTGCCGTCTCGGCGATGGCCATCTTGGAAAGTCGGGAGCTGGACGAGTCTTTTGGGTGGGTCTTGGGCGGGGCGGCGTGATTTATGGGGCGAGCAGGAGCAAAGGCGGGTCCTTTTCGCGGGACGCGCCCGGCCCGGTTTTATTCGCCGGCTTGACTTGGCCTCGGTCGTTTTCGAGCGGTGCATCACGACGATGCCGACGCCGGCTTTTTTTACTCTTTCCGCACTGAGGTTTTTCTCTTTTCAGAAAAGGTGATCCATGGTAATTATCACTGATATTGGAAGGAAGTTTGAAGGAAAAAATTCCTGTCAGAAAAAAGTTTGGAGAAGATAGCATTGTTAGCTAAATATTTACATGCGTTAATGAGATAATAAAAATAGCAAGAAGACTAGAATTTCTTTTGCAACATAAACACCATCAATCATCATAAAATAAATAGCAGAAGATCGTAGTCTTGATAAGCAATCTTCTAAATAAAGTAGTAGAGGTAAAGCCTTGGGGAGCAATCTTCATCTTCAAGTTGAAGTCAATTTTCAACACGTCGTCCGTGCACCCACGTCGATCTCTTCTTGTCATTAGTATATGCCATCTCTCTTTTCCCTCACGTCGTCCGTGCACCCACTCTTCGTGTCACTTCGCTGTCGCCACGACCAGCGTAGTCGTACCATGGACGGAAAAAGAAGATGAAACGTAGCTGTAGAGCACCTCATCACCCCGCTGGTTGGCAGGCACGGCCGGCGTCACGTTGCTCCAGTGAATCCTCGCCATTACTAGTACAACGTAGGACGACAGCTCCGGCCAGCGACTGTTCTTCGTACGTGTACGTTCATTCTGCGACTCTCTCCATGCTTCTGGTGCTACACACGAGCCTAGCTGGCAAATTACCACTTAATCGGCGGTGAAACTATCACATATTTGAACTTTTTTTGTGAAAGCATATTTTAGTTGTTAAGGAAAAACGAAAAAATACAATTAAAACTGTTTCAGAAAAAAATGAGACAATGTACGGACTTTCCTTCCCTACTTATTTACACTAATTCCCTGAATTTCGCCGCAGGCCCCTCCCCCACCTCCTTTTTTTTCCAACCAATTTGCCACGTTACATCCGTAAATCATAAGAATATGGTTACGTGCATGTGTTCATGAGGGTTAGCGTACGTTCATTATGAGTATATGCCACTGTACTGTATTCTTGAAGAAAAAATGTGTAGACATGTCTTAGTGTATCTGTTTGTTCATTTATAGTGCATGCGTAGTCAATATTAAAATATTCAAAACATCTTATACTATTTGTGAACGGAAAGAGTATCTTACGTAGCCAAACGACGACCTCCACCTACGCGAGTCCAGCTCCAAGCAACGGACGCCGATCCATGCTAGGATAGGTCCGCACCACCGCCGTCGCCCACCACCCACAAGCGCCACCCAGCCCCAAGGTTCCCAAAGCGGCGCCTTCAAGAAGGGAACGACCGAGGGGAAGGGGAAGTGAGGGGATCAGTCCATACCAACGCCTCCAAGGAGAGGAACGGCGCCCTCAGGCGTCGCCGTCGACGCGACCGGCCATGACCGACCAGGGATTTCGCCCGAATTAGATCACCGCCACCAGCAGTGCCTTCTGTACAGAACCGACGACCCAAGGAAGCGCGGCCCAACGAGGCTGACCCGCACGCCGAACAGGGGAGGAGGGGAGGCACCAGATCGTGTGCACCGGCTACCGCAGAAACCGCCGCCGGCCGCCAACGACCACCAGATCCGGCCACGTTACATCCGTAAGTCATAAGAATATGGTAACGTGGATGTGTTCATAAGGGTTAGTGTGCGTTCATTATGAGTATCTGCGATTGTACTGTATTCTTGAAGAAAAAATGTGTAGACATGTCTTAGTGTATCTGTTTGTTCATTTATAGTGCATGCGTAGTTAATATTGAAATATTCAAAACATCTTATATTTGTGAGCAGAAGGAGTATCTTTTTTTTTTGCGGAAAGGCAAATGGAGGGAGCATTTTCTTTTCTGCAAATAAGATGGAGGGAGTATTTGATTCTACGAGTAGATGTGCCTACCAAAGCAGACGACAAGGACCAAACATATAGCCGCGCGATCGTTAACGGCTAGAAGCAAGTAAAACTACCCACTCCACAGCTGCCTTGTGCCTCTCTCCGACCAACCAGTGCATCAAATCTATAGATATCCTTCGAAGTGTAGTATTTTGTCCTTCCTTTGCCAGGACCGCTAGCAAAGCAAAGCAGGACGCAGGAGCCTACCTAGGAACGGCGGATGCACGACGTATTTATTAATTCTGATTGTGATCAGCATGTTCTTTGGTGGCAAAATTTCGTGTTTTGACCCTTTTCCGAAACTTATTTGAGATCTGACCCTAAGATAAAAAAAATTCGAAATCTGACGCTTTTGCTATCGTCAGAGTCCATGACGGTAGAGTCTAACAGCCTACCGCCAGGGACTTTGGCGGTAGGAAACATCTCTACCACCAAACGGGTTGGCGATAGCCTGCACAACCCTATCGCCAAGGTGCTTGGCGGTAGGCACGAGCACGCATTGTGTTCAATACTTAGACGGGTTTTGGCGATAGGGCATGCAACACTACCGTCAGGGTCCTTGGCGGTAGGCTGTTATACCCTACCGCCATGGTCCCTAGCGGTAGCAAAAGGGTCAGATCTCGAAACTTTTCCAAACTAGGGTCAGATCTCGAATAGGTTTGAAAAAAGGGTCAAAACATGAAATTTAGCCTTCTCTGGTCTTGCCAAGGTACGTACGTGCTAAGGCCAACTCCATCGCGTGACCCCAAACGAACGTCCGTTTTGTACGGTTTTTGTCTATTTGGGTAGGGCAATGGGGTCGTTTCCGGGCGTGTTCTGGAATGCGGTGGCTGTGCGCCCAGCGCGCGGCCCCATCCCTTTGCCCCATCATGTCCGTCAGGGCCAAAAATGCACATATTTCATCAAAACTAGTTTTACAACCCAAATATTTGTCTGAAAATTAAAATAGTTTTACAACCCAATTGAAATTGTCTTTAATAAAATAGTTTTACAACCAAATCGAAATTGTCTTGATTGAACATAAAATGGACCAATACATCTATTGGTTGCCAATGTGATCCCACACGTACTCAACCAAGTCATTTTGAAGATTCAAATGAGTGTGTCAATTACGCATCTCATGGTGGAATTGGGCAAACTGTTTGAATGTGGCCGGGTCTTGGTGCAGGGGCTCAATACTTTCACCTTGATAATCAAATCCTTGGTTGAATATACTCTCATCACGCTCGTCCTCGACGATCATGTTGTGTATGATCACACAAGCAGTCATCACCTCTCAAAGCTTCCTTTCATCCCATGACAGTGCAGGGTTTCGAACGATACCCCACCGGGATTGAAGCACACCAAAAGCATGTTCCACATCCTTTCTAACACTCTCTTGCATTTGGGCAAATCTCTTTCTCTTCTCACATTGGGGTTTCGAGATTGTCTTCACAAAAGTTGACCACTGAGGATATATACCATCTGCTAGATAGTATCCCTTGTTGTACTGATGGCCGTTGATCTCAAAGCTGACAGGTGGGGAGTGGCCTTCTGCAAGCCTCGCGAAGATTGAAGAACGCTGCAACATGTTGATATCATTGTGAGAACCTGCCATGCCGAAGAAATAATGCCATATCCAAAGATCCTGCGATGCCACCGCTTCTAATATGACAGTGCACCCGTTGACATGCCCCTTGTACTGGCCCTGCCAAGCAAATGGACAGTTCTTCCACTCCCAGTGCATACAATCTATGCTGCCAAGCATGCCTGGAAAAGCCTCTAGCTGCATTGGTCGCCAACAATCTCTCTGTATCAGCACAGTTGGCTGCCTCAAGTACTCTGGGCCAAACACCTCGATCACAGCCTGGCAAAACTTGTACATTGACATCAGACATGTTGTCTCACTCATACGCACATACTCATTCACCAGATCGCCTGGAATTCCATATGCAAGCATGCGGATGGCCATGGTGCATTTCTGGTAAGAGGAGAATCCAAGCTTGCCAAGGGCATCCATTTTGCACTCGAAGTATGGGTCATGAGCAACCACTCCCTCTCGGATACGATTGAAGACATGCCTTGCCATTCGAAAACGGCGACGAAATTTATCCGGCTTGAAGAGCGGGGTGTTGGCAAAGTAATCGGCATAGAGTAGGGCGCGGCCTCTCTCCTTGTTGCGGTTCATGTTGGGAGCACGACAAGAGAATGACCCCTGTACCGAGGAAGCTGCCCTTGAATGTAGTCGTGAACGACCAGTGCAGCCACCACAAGATCTTCATCATCCGACGATGGATCATCCGATGAACAAAGGAAGTGATGGAAGAAAAACTCGTCTCCACTGTCCATACCTTTGTGGGCAAAATGCCGAACACCTTGCGGTCGTGGTGGCGAAGAGGCCGCGATGATCACCTCGACGCAGGAGGGGTGGTTGCCGGCCGGCTACTGGCCGCTATGGAGCTCTCGTCGGAAGCTGCCGAGGCCGCCGTGGTACGTCACCGGCGGTCGTGTCCCCTCTGCGACCGGCAAAGACGGCGACGGCCAAACCTCTGATCGATGGCCAAAACTACGGACAAAGCGCGGGCGTGGTGGCGGCCATGTCGAGACGTGGTTTAGTAGGGACGGCCGGGGGCTGCATGATGAGGAGGCGGCCGGAGGGACTGCTAGTGTTCCCGACAGGCGGGCCACGGGAGGGGGGGAGGGACAAGGGCGTGCGTCCAGGCCGTCCGCGCGCGTCCGTTTCACCCTCAAACCGAGCGCAAGTTTTGGCCGGGGATGGGTCGAAAACGGACGGAATCCAGACATTTGTCCGTTTGAGACCGCGCGTTGGGTCGCGCTATTCGTTCATTTTACTCCAAACAGACGCGCGCGAATAGGATGGGATCGCGCGGTGGAGTTGGCATGGACACAACGATGCAGCGTAAATTAGAGAGTTCACAGTTGTTCCAATGCTAGGCTGACAACAGATGGTGGCAGCTACTGTACATATGATCGATTTGCAACAACCGGGAAGAAATTGATGGGTAGGGTTGGCCGGTTGGGGGACAACACCAGCTGAGAACGAGAGCGAAGCTGACACGCGGGAAATTAGCTTTCTTTTTCCAAGCTGTGGAAGAATATATGCCTGCCCCGGCCAGCCGAAAACAGCATATCGCGCACTCGGTTTTGGCCAAGTTTTTATGCTCGGAGGCATGCTTAGATACATCTGGGTGGATGGCCACGGATATTTTTTTCGTTTTGGACGGTATGAATGTTGATCGCGCTTTACTAGCTTTAACAAACTCGTCAATGGTCGAATTTGTTCTCTTATCTGCCTTTTGGGTTAGCTAGGTTAAGAGCATCTCCAATAGCATGTGTAAATTTGGACGTCTATATATTTATATAGACAATGGTTTAAAAAAAATCCCTCATATACACATCCAGTTTTGCAGTAGAACGTGTATATATAGAACGTCTACATTTTCTCTCATATATTTTAATATTAATTTGTAAGTACCAATTCAACTACCATCTTAACAATAATTCAACGATTTATTATTGCAGTGTCAACTGCTATTTTTTCAATGGGCACTTTCCAAACGGCTATATTTCCAACGGCTACCTTTCCAACAGCTCTATTGCAACAGCTCTATTCCAATGGCTCTATTGCTGGCCTATATATACCACCCCTCTCCTCTCTTAAATATCTTTCCATCTTGTGCTACAACACAATGAGTGAAACAGGATTCGTTTTGGATATGCTCATGAATTCGTCGTCGTCGTCTTCATCAGACGACGACGAACTAATTCTTGCAGCATTTGCAGAGCGCGAGGAGGAAGAGGAGGCAAATGCTCGACGTCATGGCGGTTCCACGCTGGGACGACAATTTTTGCATCGCGGAAGAGATGCCGGATTTGTTCTACTGTGGAGCGACTACTTCAAAGAAAATCCCACTTTTCCCGAAAGTTATTTTCGCCGAAGGTTAGTATTACTACATTATTCCCTGTCTGCCTATTTTTTATCTTCATATCTCATATTTGTTTTTCCGCACAGGTATAGAATGTCCCGTAATTTGTTTAATCGCATAGCTGAAGCAGTACTTGAGCATGATAGTTATTTTAAGCAAAAAAGAAATTCTGCTGGAGCTCTTGGGTTACATCCTCTGCAGAAGATGACAGCGGCAATGCGACTGCTAACTTACGGATATGCGGCTGATGCCGCGGATGAGTATTGTCGGTCTGGAGAATCTACAAATCTAGCATCTTGCAAAAAGTTTGTGATAGCTATTTGTGAAATATTTGGGGACCGGTATCTGAGATCTCCAAATGAAGAAGATACTGCTAGATTGCTTGCAATAGGGGAGCAAAGAGGTTTTCCTGGTATGTTAGGGTCTATATAGATTGCATGCATTGGACTTGGAAAAATTGTCCTAAAAAATGGCATGGCATGTTTAAAGGTCATGTGAACAAGCCAACAATGATTCTGGAGGCAGTTGCTTCAAATGATCTTTGGATTTGGCATGTATTCTTTGGTTTACCAGGGTCTCTCAATGACATAAATGTGCTTCAACGTTCACCTGTGTTTGCAAAGCTATCTGAAGGTGAAGCTCCAAAAGTGAATTATACCATCAATGGTCATCCGTACACAATGGGGTATTACCTTGCAGATGGTATATATCCACCATGGGTAACATTTGTGAAGACCATACCAGCTCCAGAAGGCAGAAAGAAGAAACATTTTGCCAAAAGACAAGAGGGGGCCAGAAAGGATGTGGAGAGAGCATTTGGAGTTCTGCAATCTCGTTTTGCCATTGTTCGAGGACCAGCAAAAGGTTGGAAACGTAAAGAAATTGGTGATCTCATGAAAGCTTGCATCATAATGAACAATATGATAGTCGAAGATGAGCGAGACAGCGGTCCACATGACTACATCTATGACTCTATGGGAGTAAAGGTGACCCCATCTCATACTCATGCGGAAAAACTGAGTGTGTTTATTCAAATGCATCAACGGATCACAACAGAGCATTTCACTCTCAGCTCCAAGATGATCTAGTTGAGCACATCTGGCAAAAGTTTGGAGACGAATGATTATGGACGTAGTTGTAATAATGTAGTGTTTTCAATCCTGTACGCGGTTGTAATGATGTACTATTTCAGTTATGCCATAATGCAATGTTTTCACACACAACAAATATTTCAGATATGAAAAATAGTTTCAGATATGAAAATAGTTCACACGACAAATACTAGCAGACCTGACAAATGGTTCAACCCGATGTGTTGAACCGGCGAGCGGCGATCTCATTCTGCTTGTTCATGTAGTATTCCTGTTGAGCCCCAATCATAACAGTAGTGTCCATGGACATGATCTTCTCTTCTAACTCAAATTGCTTGTATGACATCTCCCTCTCTTGGTTTAGCATCTGCCTCTCCTGCAATGCAATCTGCTTCTCTTGCAATTCAAACGCTCGCTCATAACGAGCATTCTTTGTGGCCTCTTTGACCTCAGCCTTCTCTAACTTTTCTGCCCACACATTTTCTAATGATAACTTGGGACTAAAAGCATCAGAAGCAGAAGCTTTAGCTTTTTGTAAACGGGTTTTCTCCAGCTTATTACCATCAGGTCTTGTCTCTGTTCCAAGAGCATCAGTGCATCTCTCGAAGTCCTCGTCATTAGAAGTTGTACCTGGACTTGCATCCGAGGTCTTCTTCTGCTTTTTCTGAGGCCCCTTCGAAATCACACGATTCTCCCACTTAGGATGCTTTTCCAACACTAACCAACAATGCATTAATGTAAATGGCCTTTTTTAGGATCTTTGGACTGGTACAGAACAAGTGCATGGGCTTGCTGCACAAATAAATGGCCTATTATACTTGAACCAAACACATGAATATACAGAGAACCGAATTAAAAAGATGGAGCATACCTGCTGAGCAATAGTCACTCCGCTTTGGTTTATATTAAGTATTTGCTGATAGTATCCACAAAACTTGCTCACTTGTTCATTAATAGTGGTCCAACGACAGTTGAGTGCATTTTGAACACGCACCGGCCATGACACTTTCTTGCGCGGTAGTAATCATAAATCCTACCCCAATAAAAATTTGATGTTTGATCTGTTCCTATCAAAGCATCCAAACTAGTGTGCACCCATGCTGCCACCAACAGATCATCCTCTTCAATAGACCAATTCTTCCCCTTGGTGGATTTTCCTTTCACAGTTGTAGATGTTTCTTGAGTTGGTAGCATGGGCGACTCTTGCTCTCCAACTGGACTATCCGGCACTTGTGTTGAGACACCAAAGTTCAACATGCCCAGGAAACTCTCGTCGCCTTCCATCTGCGAAAAATTTGACACAAGTTTCATATAGCACCACATCATATAGCCTACCTAGCAGCATCAATATCAAAGAAAATTCTCTATATAAATAGCAGTAGCAACATTAGTATAACTAAACATATTCAGTTAACTACCCTGAACATATCTAGCGACAGAGACCCAAAGGCCATCGCAGTCCAGCCAGAGAAAGCCAGCCCCGTACTCCCCGCGACCCCGAGCGCGGTGGCGGCGGCCCTGCCCGAGCGCGGCGGCGGCGGCGGCCCTCCCCGAGCGCGGCGGCGGCCCTCCCCGAGGGCGGCGGCGGCTGGATCCAGCCCGACAGCAGCTGGTGGATCCAACCCGACCCAGCGGGATCCCCTCCCCTCCTTTTTCTCTGTCTCCGGTAAGAAAAAGGGCATACCTCGGCTCGGATAGGGTGGTGCGGTACGGCGGCGACCTGACGATGGTTGCGCGCCTCTTCCTGGTCTCGGCGGGAAGGAGGAACCTGGCCTTCAGTTGCGCTTTGGACGACGCCTTCACATCGTCTACCTATGGACGTTGTCGAGGCTGATTTGGAGGATGTGTAAATTTGCACGTCCGTTTAGACGAGCTGCTGGACGCCAGTTTTTTGGCCATATCATGTAAAACGGGTATACAAATCCGTTTAGACGTGCTATTGGAGTTGCTCTTACCTCCATATATATACAGCCATGTACATCCAGATTGCGCAAAGAAACCTAGCATAGCATGTGAAATCTCTGCCAGCACGAGACAGAGGCATGAGGGATACTACTTGAGGTGCAGGCCCTTGGATTAGGGCAGCACATATAGAAGCAAATTGGCGGCTGGTGCCCGCTAATCATGCAAATCAGGGGAGCGTGTAGTATGTAACCGAATTGCTGCTTCCTGTCCGAGAACATAAAATTCCCTCGTGAATAAACAATGGCCGCGATTGCAGACGGGGGCAGTGCAAAAGTGCGGCATGCATTTCCACGCGCAAAGTGTCCCGTCAACTCCAGGCACGCATCTCAAAGTGTCAAGTAAAGGAAAAAGATATATACTCCCAATTTTTTTAATCATAAATTAGATTTCTTATACTCCCTTCGGTCCTTTTTATTCTGCACATTGGATTTGCCGAAAGTCAAACTTTGCTAAGTTTGACCAAATTTATATTAGAAATTATTGGCATCTATAATATATAATAAATATAATATGAAAATATATTCCAAGATGAATCTAATGATATTGGTGTTGTTATGTGAATGTCTATAATTTTTTATATATATTTGGTCAAAGTTGGATGAGATTGACTTTCGACAAACCTAATATGCGGAGTAAAAAGGACTGGAGGGAGTATAAAATATATTTTGTGACTTAAATATTACAACATTCAAAACTTCTTTTAAATAAGAATTCATTGATACAATTGCTGCCACATATATATATAACCCATATTTGTTTGGTCTAATTTAAAATGCATGGAAAATGCCCCTTGGCTCTCGGTGTATATGCACCCGATGTGGAAACTAACTAGTAGTTACAAAAAAATGAAAAAAAACCTGCAGCTTTTTTGAAACAAATTTGACCTTCTATTGTACTCGTTCAAAAGTTTCGCAAAGGAAAAGCTGTTGTCGAATTCAGCTAAAAAAATCAAGGAAAAATATTATGAACAGTAATTTTTATGTATCATTGATTTTTTTTCACTCGGAGTACCGTGAAAGTTAATGCTTGGCGAAATTTTTTATATGAGTATAATAAAAGGTCAAGTTTGTTAGAAAAAATATTTTAAATTATTTTTCAATTATTAAAAGAAAGATATTAGGTGCATATAGACTTCAAAGCCAATCGTGCCATTACTTAGTTTGTAGTCTCGAGGAGAAATCTTCTAGTTAGTCCTGACGAGCGATTTTTCGATCTTCTTAATCACTAAGCTTCTTAGGGCTAAATTGGTTGAGAATCGATTGAGGCCAACCAATTTCGCTAGGTGCTCTTGATTTTGACCGGGTTGTCGCTGAGATTGGAGAGCCGTCCCCGCTCCGGGTTTTGGTGGTCTAGTGGGAAGGGGTTGTGTGTCAGCCGACGGTCGATTGGGTTCCACACGCCCGCCCTCTTTCCTTCAACCCTTCTCCCAGCTAGAAGCCACCACCGCCCATCCTCCCGTCCAGGTCCTCTCCTCCCTTTGCAGCTCTGGGCACTGCTTTTTTTGGGTTTTTATCATTTATGCCACTAGTTGTGTCCCACTACTCAGTTTTGCCATTAGAAGTTACAAGTGCTCAAAAATGTCATCAATCCGTGAGATGCTTGCTCAAAAATGCCATTAGATATCTCAAAAATGCCATCATTCTGTTAGATGTTTGCTCAAAAATGCCATTAGACATTGTTATTTTTACGCCAAACCCGTTGACCATGTTCTAGGACAAAAATAAGCCTAGACCCACATGTCAGTTCTCTCTATCTCACAATGATATGTGTGGCCCCACTTGTCAGGAGTAACCAAGCGAATAATTTTACAGGAAAATAAGAACGCTGTTGGGATCAAGTGGGCCCCATACTTTATTGTAGTGAGATAGAGGGAGAGCTAACATGTTGGTTCATAGGTATTTATGTCATTATAACATGGCAAAAGAGATTTGACATCACAATAATGGTGTTTAGTGGCATTTTTGAACATGTGTCTAATGAAGCGATGACATTTTTGAGCAGTTGAAATTTCTAGTGGCAAAACTAAGTAATGGGACACAACCGATGGCATAACTGATAAAAAGGTGAGAAGCCATATCTAGTAGCATTCTTAAAAAAGTTTGAGACTTATAAAATCACCACCGATAAAATTAAAAATTAGGGGCATGTCCAATAGAGATGAGTGACTTATTTTACCCACAGGACCTGATGGCGCGACGTGAGCTTAGCTCGATTTTGCACCTCGCCTGCATAGTAGGAGCCAACACCTGATGACAAGTCATCAAATGTTGTTGGGAGAGTCAAAGACAATGATGATTCGAAGCATGGATTATGGTCCCGGAGAGGAAAAGTGAAGGCCAGACGAGGAGACCCAACCACACGTAGATGCCGAAAGCGCCATCGAGGGATGTTATTGAAGAGACCACCGACAACATGTAAACCGACGTGAAAGCATTGTGGTCATTGACTAACACAACTTTTTTTTGCGATAGAAGACTAACTTACACAACCTAAAAGGATTGGATCTCGCGGCGACACCAAAACCAGTGCCAGTGCACCAGGGATGACAACGGAGTGATCATACCACTGCATCAACGTCTACGCACACCGGATGAACTATGTGAGGACACCAGATGCTAACAACCTAGACCGGATCTCCCCAGGAGCACAAAGATCGACCCATGCTCACCCCACCTCTACGCACCGAAAGAGATTGCCGAAGGTGAGGGATACTAATGGATTCAGCTACATGACATGCTTTCTCGGAAAATGCCTTTGGGATCCCTAGACCACCGCTATGATTTCAAGTTGTTTGTTATCGCAACGAAATTGCTCCATGCACGACACAAGCGGCCGGTCTATGCACGACATGTAAATCCAGCAGCCGGCGCCCTTGTCAATCAACGTGTGTCCGACCAGATTTAATCCATCGTCTCTGCATCGTCCAAGTTTCATCGTGTGCATAGCAAGACTCTTATCACAATGGCAGGTTTGTCGCGTATAAATATGTTCACAGTGAGCTATAATAAAAACTGAATATTACATGCATTGATGAGATAATAAAATAGCAAGGAGACTAGAATTTCTTTGCAACATAACACTATCAATCATAAAATAAATAGTAGAAGATTGCAGTCATGAGGACGAGGAGCAATCTTCGAATTAAGGCGGATGAAGATTATATGCTCAATTTTAGTGTTGGGGAGCCATTTTTTAGCACCATTTTCAATGTACCTTCAAATAGTTCGTTGACTGGTGTGACATGTGAATATTATTTTGGCAACTGAAACAACAAGATACGAGAGCTGTGACGCAGACATGTCACGACCAGCCCTGACCCCGAATGCCGATTCCTACTTGTCTCTCCTCACGTCGTCCATGTACAGTTACTCTGCGTGCCATTTCGCTCTCGCCACGACTAGAGGCTGGCTGTACCAATAAGGACGAAGAAGAAGAAGAAGAAACGTAAAGAAGAGGAAGAAGCATCGACCGTAGCTGTACAGCACCTCACCTCGCTCGTGGCAGGCGCGGCGTCCATGGATCGGCACGTTCCCCAGTCAGTCAAGCCCCGCCATTAGTACAACTTGGTACGTGTCCCTTCCTTCTGCCACTCTCTCGATTGTTCCAGTGGTGCTCCGAGCATTGCTACGATCGGGTTAATTACCACTCTAACACCCGCAAAAAAAAAAAAGAATTACCACTCTAACGGTTGTAAGAATATCACGTATTTTAACCGCTTATATTATGAGCATCTTCAACAGTGACCCGTAAATTTCCTTCTGTCCTATA